TTTATACTTATAAGTATATTAACCAATCTCAATGGAAGAGTGGTGCTGACTGCTAGGTCTTTCAAAAAGTAAAAATTTGCATTAGGCAAATCCAGCATCATTTTAGGGTCCAGTGGCACTTGGAGAACTGAAATTTACTCCCTGGTTTCTTGGTGAGACCTTTTACGGTACATCAGATAAATATTGACCATTCATTTTTGCTGATCTAAGGGTTAATATTAATCGATGCTACTGACTTAGATGTGTAGTATTCTCTGCAAAAAGGGCACAATCGGAAGAGTTGCAAAGTAGTAGTACTTCTTATGGCTTTCATCAAGACGAGAATCCAGCGCGATGATTTAGGAACGGTTTTGCTATTTTACAGCTGAGTGTTTTTCAATTTGTTGACATTCAAATCGTTGTCCATTCGTTCTTGCGTGGAGATTCGCGCTGGCTTTTGTTTTTCGCCAGGCTTGTTACCGGGTCTGGTTTTTTGTGTGGGTGCGGTTTTCTCTGTGCCCGTTACGGCTGCCCCGGCCTGGTCTGATTTTTGTGTTGTTTGAATTTGGGAGAGCGTGTGTTTTCCTTTTTTTTTCTCCTCTCTGTTTCGATAAGGCTGAGGCGGAGCTCGAGCAGCGGAGCAGAGGAGGCGATTCTCCCCGTCCATGGCGATTTCGTGAACTTCCAACGCTCGAGCTTCATTTCTGTCCCCTTTCTATTCGCTCCCCGGTGTCGCGGTTGGTTATTCCTCTCTGTCGCTCTGTCGAGTATGATGTTCTGCTTGTGTTTGTTCCAAATCTAGGTCAGTTCATGTCACCCTCTCGCCTTCTGATGTAGTCGCTGGTAGGTGTGATTTCTAGGTTTTGTGGTTGTTGTGGTTGTCTCTGGTGGGCTACTGTTGTAGTTTGTAGATGCAGTGGGGTTTCCCCTTGTTTGTGTAGATGTAGCATGTAGGATTCTGTAGATGTAGCATGGGGGTTTCTATAGATGTACCAGTAGCCTGCGGGATTTCTCCTGCTTATGTTCTGCTCATGTGCCTGTACGCGAGAATTCTGTAGATTCCTAGCTCTTTCAGTGATGCTACCTGCTCATGTCCTGATGCTACTTGCTCATGTGAAGCTCTTTGTAGTCCCTGATTTCGACTGCTGATTTTTTGTTGTTAGATGTAGCTGTTTAGTTCCCCTTGGTACATGTTTATGTACTTCTAGAGGTATGATTTTGAGTTTAATTTCAGTGTATTTTGTCTTAGCCTTTCAGTGTAATTTACTTGGTATTTCGTCTGTAATTTGTTAGTTGATTGGTTTGGCTTGACAGTATCTTTTTGAATGTAATTTCAGTGTAGTTTGTCTCAGCTTTGCAGTGTAAGGATTTACTATGTAATTTATCTCAGTATTGCACTGTAATTTGTTTCAGCATTTCACTGTAAGGATTTACAGTGTAATTTATCTCAATATTGCAGTGTAAGTTGTCCCAATTTTTCACTGTAATTTACCTGTAATGTTTTCTCGTGTGATTTGTTTGGATTGCTTCTTGTTGTAGCAATCTATTGAGAAATCTTCAGCAAGCAAAGATGGTGATGTTCCCCCTTGCAGTGACTTGCTTTTTGAAATGAATGTGCAGAAATCCTTTGGTGCTTGTTTTGTGCTCTTGCCTTTTATTGCTCGGTTGATTATTTTTGTTGTTTTACTGATTTTTTTTCAGGCTACCCAGGTAGTTATAGACCTTTTTCAAGCTAGGGACAAAGACAAGCACAAGCTATTTATTGAATCGTCACAGTCCCTTATAATTGATGTTCTAGATTTCTTATCACACTCATCTCTGAATGTCAAATCTGTTCCTACAAGTGAGGTTCGTTCTCTGTATAAGTTCTCTTTTGATTAGTTCCTTCTTGAAGTTATTTTTTTGTTTCTATTCTCTGATTTATGTATTCTTTCTTGTATGATCTTATTTATTTGTTCTTGCGCATGTTGTTTCTTTGTACTTTTGCAGGCACTAAGTCTATTTTCTATTCACTCTTTCATTGCTGGGAGGAACTTTGAAACTGTTGTTGACAATCCATCTCCTCAAGTCGAGCGGCAAATCCCCAATTTGAGTCTTCTGGTTCTTTTCTTTCTCCTTCTTCATTGCTATGGCATGTGCTTCAGTTCATTTTAGCTGCTGCTATACTGGGATAGCGATTTCTTTTAGTTTTTTTCTAAAATGTTTCTCCTTTTATGTTTCTCAGCTGAAAATTGTTGTCTGTACCTGTTGCAGATTCATGTTGTAGAACAGGTTTGTGTCCCAGGGATTAGATTCTCCTCCACCATCTTCGCTTCGCTGCCTCTTCATGATGCAAGTCTAGCTCCGATGTCTGCAAGGTAGGTTTAATGATTGTTAGTGCGTTTCCTTCGCCATTTGTTTGTAATAGTTATTCAGTTGTTGTTTTCCTTACATTTGTTATCTCTTGTTGTGATGAAACAGTCCTCTACTTTGCTCCTGTAGTTTTTCTCCATAGTTTCCCAAATGCTCGTAGATCCATCTCCCGAATGTACCTGCAAGGTTCA